GACCACAGGCGCCCGCCACAACGCCCGGCTATTTTTTGGTTGCAGCCGTCATTGTTGTTTGGCGGGTCCGGGCTGGGGATTCGAACCCGCCACCTCAGGTGTACGTGGCTGGCGCCTTAGCCGGTTGAGCCACAGGCGCCGAGCCTACAAGATAATTTTTAAAAAATTTTTTTCAAGATAAATTTTCGAGATAGTTAACCAGATCTCAATTCACATTTTTTTTTTTTTTTTTTTTTTACAGACAGAGTCTCACTTTATTGCCCTTGGTAGAGTGCTGTGGCGTCACAGCTCACAGCAACCTTCAACTCCTGGGTTCAGGCGATTCTCTTGCCTCAGCCTCCCAAGTAGCTGGGATTACAGGTGCCTGCCACAATGCTCGGCTATTTTTTTGTTGCAGTTTGGCTGGAGCCAGTTTCAAAGCCACCACCCTTGGTATATGGGGCTGGCACCCTACCCACTGAGCCACAGGTGCCGCCCTCAAATCACATTGTTAAAAACAACCCCCACCCCTTCATTTATGAGAGATTGAGTAACATCGGTTTTACATCAGGCTCATTGAAGAAAGATTCCTTTTGGTATATATCTCATTTTTGTTGTCCTAATCACAGTGAAGCCATCTGGCAGACTGTTGATGCCTGTGAGGACACATATAAGACCCTTGAGAGTATATAGTACACTAGGGAAGTTATAATGATGACTATTAGTAGGATAATACTAAGAAACTGGAGTGTGCTCCTTAGCCAAAGTCCCCATGAATCAAACCAACTAATATAAATGTATGTATGCATTTGTGTGTATATTTGTGTATATATATAGTATATGTATATACCCACATAGATAACATTTTTTTCACACGTGGGTATTTGTGTGTATGTATGTATAACATTTTCTTTAGATGGGTCTTGCCTGTTGTCTAGGTTGGACTTTAAATAACTCTTGGGCTCAAGGGATTATTCCACCTCAATCTCCCACATAGTACAACTAATATTTCTATGGGAATAAAAGAAAACCAAAAGTTCTAGGAAAAAACTATAAATTCAGTCTCTGAGTTCAGGAGGAAGTTGTCAAGAGATTTCTAAAGTTGAGCTTGAAGCATATTTTCCTGGTGTTTAGCTTGAATGTCTTTGATTATGGCATTGGGCATTTCAGTGAACTTGCAGGGTGGTCCACACATCAGAAATCATGTTCTAGGGTGGTGCCTGTGGCTCAGTGAGTAGGGCGCCAGCCCCATATACCGAGGATGGCGGGTTCGAACCTGACCCCAGCCAAACTGCAACCAAAAAATAGCCGGGCATTGTGGTGGGCACCTATAGTCCCAGCTACTCGGGAGGCTGAGGCAAGAGAATCATCTGAGCCTAGGAGTTGGAGGTTGCTGTGAGCTGTGATGCTATGGCATTCTACTGAGGGTGATAAAGTAAGACTCTGTCTCTAAAAAAAAACCAAACAAAAAAACCCCCTGGACTCAAGGATCGTCTTGTCTCAGCCTCCTGAGTAGCTGGGACTATAGGTGCCTGTTGCAATGCTAATTTTTTTCTATTTTTAGTAGAGACTGGGTCTTGCTCTTACTTAGGCTAGTCTTGAACTCCTGAGCTCAGGCAGTCTACCTGCTTCAACCTCTGAGAGTGCTAGGATTACAGGTATGAGCCACTGTGCCTGACTACCCTTGAACTCTTGGGCTCAAGTGATACTCCTGCCTCTGCCTCCTTTTAGCTGGGACTATAGGCATGTGCTATCATGTCCAGCTAATTTTTTGTTTTTTAAAATTTTTTTGTAGAGATAGGGTCTTGCTATGTTGCTCGGGCTGGTCTTGGCAATATAACCAATGTTTTTCTTTGTATAAGAAGACCAGATTCTTTTTCATCTAGTGCAATTAACATATTACCATGAACTGAAAATATCCTCAAGTAACTTTCCAAATTTTGGAGGATCAAGTAAGGAGAAAAAGTAAATATTTCAATTTTTATTCACAAAAATATACGTTACCAAATTGCTTTCAGCTTTGGGTAGTTTAAAATAAAAGAAAAAGAAAATGTTTCCTTAGATATGGAAAATAAAAAAAATAGAGAACCAGCAATGTTTCAAGTGAAAAATCATAAGAATATTATCCTTGTCAGTTTTTCAGCCCCAGATAATTAATTCTTGTTCTGATTGATCTTTCTTAGCAGTTTCGTGAACTCAATAGTTTTCTCAGTAGAATTCTGGAAATTCAGTCTAATGACATAATCTTAAGGTTATTAGAAATCTGTATTCTAGAGTATTTGTTAGAGTCTTTCTCACAAATCTCTTTGAAGAAGAAACAGTTTTGGACTGTAGCTGATTGGAAACTGTAAACACTCTTATTTTTGTTTTTTTAGAGACAGAGTCTTGTTACAGCATAGTGACATTATCATAGCTCACTGCAACTGGGAATTCCTGGGCTTAAAGGGATCCTTCTGCTACAGCCTCCTGAGTAGCCAGGATTACAGGCATGTGCCGCTACACCCAGCTAATTTAAAAATTTTTTGTAGAGATGGGTTCTCGCTATGTTACCTAGGCTAGTCTCAAATTCCTGGTCTCAAGTGATCCTCTTGTCTTGGTCTCTCAAAGTACTGGGATTATAGGCATGAGCTACCACACTCTGGTGCAAATTCTTTTAGAGAAGAATCAAAATAATAGCTGTCTGTGGATTATAAGATTTAAAATGGCAGTGTTAAATTCAGATGATGCAATTGGCCAGGCAAGTGGCTCACACCTGTAATCCTAGCACTCTAGGAGGCCGAGGCAGGTAGATTGTTTGAGCTCAGGAGTTCAAGAACAGCCTGAGCAAGAGTGAGACCCTGTCTCTAAAAATCATAGCTGGATACCTGTTGTCCCAGCTACTCGGGAGGCCAAGGCAAGAGAATCACTTGAGCCCACAAGTTTGAGGTTGCTGTGAGCTATGACACTATGGTACTCTACCGAAGGTGACAAAATGAGACATTATTCTTCACATCTTATTTCATTTTTTAAAAGATTTCAGATTAAAATGAGAGTACAGGCTTGGCGCCTGTGGCTCAAGTGGCTAAGGCACCAGCCACATACACCTAAGGTGGTGGGTTCGAATCCCCAGCCCGGGCCCGCCAAACAACAATGATGGCTGCAACCAAAACATGGCCAGGCGTTGTGGCGGGCGCCTGTGGTCCCAGCTACTTGGGAGGCTGAGGCAGGAGACACACTTGAGCCCAGGAGTTGGAGGTTGCTGTGAGCGAGAAGCCAACGCAACCCAACCAAGGGGGACAGCTTGAGGCTCCATCCCAAAAAAAAAAAAATAAAAAAAATAAAATGAGAGTACAAATGATTAGGTTACAGTGAGTTTGTTAGGTAAAGTCCATGTTGTAGTTGTGTCCCACCCCCAGAGGTGTGCCATATACCCTGACATTGTGCTCATTAGTTCCATTATTTTATTTTTGTTGACAGACCAGGCAAATATCAAAAACAGCACAGGATCAAAGAAACTAAAAACCTAAACGCGGCTCCCCCCTCTTTTTTCTAACT